CGAGGATGTGTTGCCGCGCCTTCACCTGCGCGTGCGGACGTGTGGAAACCGGCGCCGTTTTTCTGCCGTGTGTTTTTTTTTTTTTTCTCAGCCGCGGATGCTTCGTCGATGGTGTGCGGCAAAAAAGTTCGGCGGTGCAGAAGGAGAAAAAGAAGGCAAGGAAGTGGCTTTGCAGAAACTCCTCTTGGTCGAATTTTTTGAGCATTTTGTTGGTTAGTTAGGTTTTACACGGTGAGATTTGTTTGCGCGGGTATTTATTAATGTTGGAGAAACGCGAAGAATTGCATAAAATATTTAGTTCGTTACTGTTTTGAAAATTCGTGTAAATATATGTTATAGAAAGATATACAACATTTTAATCTATTATTAATCTTTGTGGATGCGGTAGTGGTTGCGAAAGGAATTCTAGATTTAAAAAAAAAATAAAAAAAAAACTACTACGTATGTCATGTGCGATGTTGCAAATTAATGAATAAAACGTAGCTTGCGCTTTGTGTATTACAAAGTTTCGTGATGGTGATGTTTATTATTTGGTAACATTGGAGCGGTTGGTTTATTGCGACAAGTTGCTTGTCATTGCGACTGGTTCAGCTCGACGTGTAAGTAGAGTGCGGGTGCGCGCTTTCGCGAATTAGCGAACGGCCGCTGTTTGGGTTGGCGAGTCGCTGTCGCGCGTTGCAGGTCGTCTCCGAGCGCGAGCGCCGCGCCGCGCCGCAACCGGTTGCCGAATCCTGTTCGGGCGACTGTCGTAGCCCCGCGCCGCGCTGCGCCGCGCCGAACGTGCGTGCGACGCCCCGGCCACAAAAACGCAGCAGGTGGAGGAAGCTCTCGGCCGCAGACGCCAGCGCCCGGAGCCTGTGTCGCCGCTCTGCGCGCCTCCTTGTGTCACTTGCCTTCAATTCCTTTCCGATGACAAGGCCACTTCCACTGTCCACGACATTCCACTTCAACTGTCTGCAGTGCTTTTCAGTTCAATTAGTAGAGTTTGATTTTAAATTGATTCACTTTGGTTGCGTTTACTTTTGTTGGAAATAATGCGATGCCTATTTATAATTTTCATTACATCTGCACTTTACTGTATGCTAATGGCATGTGCAGTGACTCATTCAAAAATGGCCAAACATTACACACATATCGAGTCAGTACCTTTACAGATGCTGTTAATGCATCTATTTATACTATTTTTGTCAGGTCGTAAGATATGTGATGTAGAAAAGGTTTTAAAAAAAGAATATCTTGTCCATAAATTAAACATTTCTAGTTAACATATTCCCGTTGAAAACCAGTCGAATACCTTTCAAGGTGAATAGAAAAATATTGTGTAAATAATGTTGTATTCGAATAATATGAGTTTTAAATTAAAAAAGTACTATCACCAAAGTTAATATGTATAAGTTTTCCCATTTCATGTGCCCTTTAAAAAGTGTCAGCAGATTTATTAGTTCTAATAAACCAGAATTACAAATTATCTCATAATTATATTTCATTTCTTTGGACAAAATGGAGAATGACTTTCATCAACATTTCTAGCGTAACTTACTTAATACGACTATAAACATCGTATTATACTGATTTTTTTTACGAATAGAAACATATATAACTAGGCAAATTATTTATATTTGGTTGCTTTTTTCTGATACGCAGATATAGTGTTCGATATTTTTAATCCTCTTAAATTTTTTAACTAATGCAGTTTTGACATACGTAAACTCTTTTCGAGGAAACAATTTACTAACATACTGAGGGGAATGTTGATGTATTTTCTTACACAGTAGAAATCTTTTAGATTCTTCGAGAAAGCAGTTATCAAATATACCGAGAATAATGTAGATACATTTTTTGTAGGAAAGAATGTAGTTTCTTTTAGATTATTTGTAACGTTGAAGACGTTATTCCTGAAGTAAGTCTGGTCGTACATTTGCAAAATAATTTTCAAAGTCTGTCGCATGTCTTTAGGTATCAGGTGCATTCAGAAGGTCTTCTTCAATAAAACGTAGGGAGGATAATAGTAGGAGTTTTTTTTCTGTCTTCCCTTCCTTTTATACTTGCCTTTAAAGACTTCGCGGATCATGTATGTATAGTATGAAAAGCTTGTCATTTGCAGCTTAAGCTCTTTTTTTTCTTTCAATTTCTATGCCTAGGCCATAAAAGCAAGCATGTAATACCAACACAAAACACAAATACTGAATGAAACCAAGTATTAGACGCGCTGGGATCTGAAACGTCTGTTGGCCTCCTGCCTCAGTGCCTCCGGCAGCTGAATGGGCAATTTCACTCTCTTCTTTTCTTTTACTTTGCAATCTTAGTGATGACGATGCGAGGGTTATTTTATAATAAAGTTAGTTCTACTATGTAGAAGTGGGTGGGTGTAAAAAAAACTTTGTATTTACGTCGATCACGAAGCGATTTTTTCGGAGCTCGGAATACTATCCACCCTGGCTCCGCTGCTCTCCATCTCGATTACCCAACTACCGCGCTGGAAAAAGTGGTACTTCGAGTAGTACTATTCGTGAAAAGTACTAATTAAAATGTACAAAGCAGTTGTACTTCAGGGCCTTACTGAACTATTGTACTATTCTTGGGAGCCATTTCGTGGTGAATATGCTTCTAGCTGTTATATTCCTTGTATAATATTATTTTTTGTTACCTAACTTCGATATTTACAAAAATGACCATTTCAATTTTGCTTGAATGTCTTGTTGGGAATTTCGGAATGGCAAATGTGTATCAAAAAACCGAATGAAGTTGAGTAATTATTTCGGAATCCCCCAAGTGGTGAAATGATATTTCGTTGAAAATAAGCCGAGCAATAAATGTAGACGTGTTCTCTTCCTCTTTAGAAGAAAGCAAATGTTACACCGTTTTTTGCCTCCAGCTACTTTTGGAGTTGAAGGACACAGGACCAGTAATGTAATAAAAGTGCATTGGAGCAGCTCTAAATTCGCGAGCACTAGGCGTTGTGCAAGTAATTGATAGGAATTGGGCCTGTATAAGCGCATTGAACTCTGAAGAGAAACCATTCATTTGCCTTGAGATATCGTTGGGTAACTACGAAAATATGTTATTTGCGAAGAAGGCCTTGCAACTAATTCGCGATTATTCGGCAATAAGATTCAAATAAAAGTACTTGTAATTTATTATACTTTAAAATTAAAGGTAATTAAAAACTAGTGACCTATAACACATACTTTCTCGCATTTTTAATTTGTGCAATTTACAAAAATTCAGAGAATTCAAAGGAAATTAATCCTGCTCCATTATTTTAAGCATCGCTTGTTCTATTCCCGGAAAAAAATTGGAGTGGTCTGTGAGAAAATATTTTTTTTTTACAATTTGTATTAACTTCTAGCAGAAATTGCGCAAAAACAACTTCTATTTTTCAAAAAAACGTACATAACCTTTCTTAAATATTTGATTGTGTAGAACATATTGTACACATAAACATCTCTTAACATCGAATTTGTAGTTTTGCGATGTTAGCTTTTTGCTAATTTTCACTACTACAGTATTCGCCATAAATGGGCATAACGTCCTTCTTTATCGTCCTTTGATACAATGAGAAAACTTAAAGAAAAGAATTGGAGCCATTTAAAAAAAAATAATTGTGTTAAAGTTGCCGAAATTTCCCGCAAAGTTAAGCGAAAACGATTCATATTTTCAATAAATTGAACATGACGTTATTTCAAGATCAGTCTTTTACCAACTGATTTTATTAAGGGAAAAAATCTCTCTTCTTTATTGTAGTTGTAGGCCGAAACAGATTTGCAAGCGTTGTCCACAGACGGACGAGCAGTCATGTTTTGCCATCAATTGCATTTTCGGTATCAAGGACCCACAAAACAGGGATCCTGACTACACAAATTTTTAGAAGAAGTAATTTACCAAGTGTAGGAACAAGATTTATCCACTTTTCGTAACCAGGACCAGGCAATAAGAGATTTTCTGTTGAAAATTCACTGTTTCCGGCGCATGTTTACAGTACTTTCTCTTCTTAGGAAGTAAGAGCGAGAAAGTAAAAGTCTGTCTGTATGGTCTTATCTCGTATTAACATTTGGGTTATTCTCTTGAGTAATTTTCGAGGCATTCTCCACCAGTTATGGCGAAGTACAGTGCTTTTTTAAGCAGCTTCAAATATTTCTCGCTGATTGTCAGAAGAGGGACGCTGGCAAAGAACAATATTTATACTTTATTGTACTTTACTACGTTGTTGAAGAAAAGTTATGTAATGATGCACCGAAAAGTACAATCGGAATAAAAGCTTTTGGATGGTTTCTAGTTCCTATTAGTAGTAAAATATTTTCGACTACGTCGTGTAGTGAAAATCCATCTTTTGTGGGTCCTTGATACAGACAAATTGACTTTTGGATAAATTTCATTCGGTGTGCGAATAACACTAGTACCTAAACCGTACGTAGGATTATCATCATATTTGATATTCCGCGATTGGCTGTGTTGAATTTGCCTCTTGAATTTGAAATGCATATCTTAATTTTTGGAGACACTTTACATGAAGGCCCAGTGAAAATTTTTAATATTTCCAAAATGATTCCAATTTGTTTGCTCGAATATAGCAAGTATCGCCTATGAAAATGTCACGGGTCCAAATTTCATTTCAATATTTTTTCCTTCTAAAATGTTAAAAGCAAATCGTTTATACCATTTCTTCGACAATGGCTTCAGAGATGGTTTCATGTCTCAAGCGGTAAGGGCATCGTTTTTGAAACTAATGTAATACGTAGGTTCACGACATAGCGTCCACGTACTTTTGTACTTGGAAACACGTGTTCGGCTTCAACTTGTATTATAACATAACAATTACAAACAATACTAACACCAAAAATAGTATGTGCAGTTGAAGCTCCGTGAATTAGTATTGTTACCAATCAGTGTTTCATTGTCGGTGCGGTATGCCACATGGGAGTATGAAAGTATGCACGAATGGATGTGAATGCGTTGGGGCAGGGTCTCTTGCAGATGTTGTAACCGGTTCTCTGTTTCAGCACGTCGTGTTCCAGTGCCCGATGCGAGGTTCGAATATCTCTGCGAGTACTTCAAGCCTGTGAGGTGAGTGTTATTCTCTAAATTCTAGTGGATCCACTTGGCACATTCGCTTCATTTTGCGAAGCAAACCTCGCGCGAGACACACGCGTGAATATAAATATAAAATGTCAAACGTGAACCGCAGATTATTGAACCATTACTGCTGTGTATGGTGGATTAACATTACTTTCGTTTCAATATTGCGAATAATGATAACATAAATAATTATTTCTATGTCAATAAGAGTGTATTGTGCATAACAGAATGCTTGAAATGTTTTGAGTTCACAATTTCATTGGCTCTTCCGGGGTAGAGAGTTACTTGCGGGGATCTGTTGATTATGGTATCAGTGTCCACAACATAAAAATTCCAGGAGAAGAAAAAAACAAGCAGGAGCCGTTTGAGACTAATTAGTTTCTTCAATTCCCTCTGTCGGTTTCTTGCTTCGACTCTTAAGCGGACTCGTTCTTATGGCAGATAGCTGTACTTTCAAACGACGTTTTGTAATGACTCGTAAATAGTGGATTTGAATGTTCAGTGGGGTAATTACTATGTATGTGAATGCCATTTCGAAAGATTTTGCTACTGTGCTGTGCGAGAGTGTTTTCAAATTGTAGTTATTAGAAACTAAAACGCAGTTTAAATGTTTATTGGGCAAGGTCATAGTGTTAGCCGCATTTATCTTTATCGTTTTTAGCCTACTACTTGGTATAAATACGACTGTTCAAGTAGTTAAAGTACCAGTATATCACTCTCTAAACGCGCAAATCAATTGTGATATTCTTTCGTGTATCCTTGCTTGAGAGAAAGTGTTAATGACCCAGTTCTTAATTGTTCTCTTTATAGAGGAGCTAGAGCCCAAGGAAATTCATGAAAAAAAGTTAATGTAAATGGAGGGAAAACATCAGTCTTGACATTAAAGGCTGTTTTTCTCGAACCATTTATTCCCACTTAAATGTGGAGTCCAAGAAATAATGTGAACAATAATTCCAAATGAAGAAAATGATAACAAAATTAAATTGAATGTACTGATATAGTAGTGTAGAAAAGAAGGTTGTTTATGGCCGCTGCTGCAGCTTATGCTACTCGTTATTGTGAAGTTTCATGTCGTTTTACTAATGACATTGAAAGGAAAGAAGCACTCTGCCCACAGTTTCACTCCTAATGAAAAATGTGGAAATCAGTACACAGACTTGTAAAGAAAAGACTTCTCCTTTTTTTTGGAAAGGTATTGCCACGACTTTCGACAGTCGCATCAGTGTATGTCTGTGTGAAACTTTCCTTCTTGCACTTGTTACCTTAGCACGCCTAGGAAAATGTATCCCTTGGAAACTGACCGACCCAAACTGAAAGTATTAGAAAACTAAATTCTGCATTGTAGCAAGTTGATACTAATGTTTTCATAATTAGTAACGTCCGTGTAATTCTCCTCGGTGTCCTCCGCGTTTGCGAAGAGCCAAAATAATATTCTTTTCCGATTGCGTGGTGATTGCTCGAGTAATAGTTGTTAGATGTTACGAAGTCGATGATATAATAACAAGCTTTTATTGAGACGCTGTACGTTCATTACATTGGGGTTGGGTTTTAAAACCTCGCAGTGTGAATGCTGGTGGAAGAGACTGATTTGATTCCAACGACAAAAAGAATATTTCGGCGACATTGCTAATTACGGAGGCCCTGTGCCCTAGCCCACATTGTATGAGTCCTGACTTAGCTACGAACGTCCGTAACTGGAGAGAGACCACTCACTCTCTGTCCCTCTCCGCCCCGCCCCATTTCTCTCCCTCCAACCCGCCGCGCCACTCTCGTCACCGCCCCGACTCCCTGCATGTCTCTCCCCTCCCCGTCCCGCCAAGCTCGCCACGCCCCGCCACGCTCAGATCAGGCCCACCGTGCTCTCCACTCCACGCCCCGCCCCGCCCCTATCCGGCCCACGTTCCTCTCATCCTCACCCCGCCAGGTTGATCCACGCCCCGCGTGGTCGCGCGGCGCCTTCGCGATGAAGCAATAACGGGCTGGCGCGTGACCCGCGCGCCTCGCAAACCGAGCGATTGCATCGGAGCAGCCTCTCGCCGGATTGCTATCGATACCGGTCGCCCTCGCCCGCTCGAGTGCGGTGTCCACGCCTAATTGCACGAGGAAGCGCCGTGAACCGATCTGTTAACCGCAGCTGAACAACTATTTTTATTTGCGGAGAGATCGGCACTGACAGAATTAGCTCTTCATTCGGAAATACATTCGATGGGACCAGCTAGTAGGGGTGGCGTCCGTACATTTGTAGTGCAAGAAGAACATCAAAGAAAGTTCGTTCTCTTCTCTGTTGTTGTTTTAAGGGCTTTTCTCCAGCCGACACTGGGTTATCCTTTACGCGCAGGTGGGACGCATATTCGACCATACACTAGACACCAACACACGTGTGGGCTCCTCGGTGGTCCGCAGAACGCGAGGCTCTCCGCGACAACATACATGTGAAACAAGGGACAACCATATGCGAGGTGCGGCCGTTGGGACCGACACTCGCTCTTAGCCACCTCAGCCATCCGACTTCTATCGTGCTCTGTGAAACTATTAGAATATCTCATTTATTGAAGAAAGTGAAAATTAGTTTTTTTTTGATTTTTAAAAATTTATTTAAGGTCGCATCAACTACTAGGTCATTAGCGACCACTATTGCTTGTAACGGTATGGTAACTGTCAGGATGACACTATATGATGATGATAGGGGGTGAAAGGACGAAAGACAATACAACCATGCCCGAGGCGGGACTCGAACCCGCGATCCTTCGGTCCGAGTTCGCTACGGCACTACTGCCTTAGCGATCTCGGCCACCGGATCGGCGAAAATTAGTTGTTATTGACCATTGTCTGATTTGATAGTAGTATTCCATATAGTTAACTCATATGTACAGCCCAAGTATCTTTCTGCCTTGGGTATTGCAAGAATTGATTCTCATAGGCACTATTATATTGGAAGAATCGTTACAAGTAAGGGAAAATTCTGAGACGATTATAAATTTATTATTCCTGAAATAAAAGTATTTTTTTGCCTAATTTCTATTTGGTGAGTTTAAAAAAAATTGTACTTAATCACGCGAAATCAGAGAGCTTTCAGGGTGGCTTTAATATTTTCTTCAAATAGTCTGATAGGGGTGGCGTCGGAGTGGCTCTAGGAATATAATCAGTATTTTTTTTAATGCGCTGGAAAACCAGGAAACGTTAGGAAAATTTATTTCAGAAAATGGGTGGCCACCCTGAAATGGTAAAGCAAGTTTAGGTAGTCTTTACCAACATATTAGGCTGTTTGATTGCTTCATTCATAATCTACCTTTATATTTACGATCTGTTAGGTGATGTGGCAAGTTCTTGAAATATAATCGCTGAGTAATTGTCACTTCTCTGTTAGTTTACATTAGTTAATCTTATTTTAAACATTAATTGTGTTTAACAACATTAAATTCGCATTAAAATAAAGTAACCGCCATTTTGCGGGAGCGTTTAATTTATCGTCTGTAAACAATTAAATACGACTATACTTAATTTAAAACTGGACTCTTTAGGATAAAAAGAATGACACAAACATACTATGTTTGAAAATGTGTGTAGTATCAACAATTTTTCTTGTTATCGAGGTCCGTTCACGTTTGGTAAAACAGCGACGCAAAGAAAGTACGCGAAGGAGGCACATCAGAGTTAAGGGATGCGTGGGTTGTCGGTGGTTCACTCGGACACGTAACGCCAGGCCCGCGAAGGCAATGGAGTCCGTACTGGCGAACCGGGCGCGAGGACGCAGCCGCGGGGCGGGCCTGTCGATGGCGGATGCCCCTCATTACGCGAGCGAATTATCGCGCAGCCGCTGCGGTCGCCGCGATAAGCGGGCGGCCTGGGGCGGGGGCGGGGGGCGGCGCACAGTGTTCGCATTTGCAGCACCCACGGGGCAAATCTGAAATTTACCATTTATTCGCATTTTCGATTTTATAGCTGTCGTTGCGAGTGAGAGCAGAACGAAATGAAAATTAAGTAATTTGGGGTTTTGTTAAACCTCCATTTCCGAATTACGAGGGAAAATTGACAACAGTACGTGTTTATTTGTTTAAAAATTGAATAAAGATAACTTCCAATGTACTTAAGGACTATGAAATTAAAAAACAAAACAAAAAACTATACAATTGATGTTTGAAACAAGTTTTCAAGAAAGGGATATTCAGTATTATAAAGTTTTTCTTTTAACAATTCACAATACTTCCTTAACACTTAAAGTTATTATACAGTATTTGTTGACAGTTAGCTTTTCGCTTTCCTTGATAGCAAAAAAAAAAAAAAAAAAAAAAAAATTAGAAAAGATTTTTGCTCATGAAAAGCCACGTAAAGTTGTCCATGCGAAAATACAGCATCGGCCGAGCAGGCCCCAACTTTGTCAATTTTACATATACGTGTTTAACTTCTTAGCGATCAGAGAAGTACACCCGTGCAATTCAATCACAAAATAATTACTTTACACATACAGTTGCAGATTCTGTACGTCTCTGAACAGTTGAGGTAGTACAGTTGTAGTGTAAATAGTATTTAGTAGTATCGATAAGTGACGTAAACCAGCGAAACTAGTGTAAAAATATATCATGTTGTATATTTTAGTGCGAGGAATATTTTTTTGGGGCTATTCGTCTCAGATTTCCAGGCCCTAGATCGATTCGTTTATAAGCTATTTAACTATATAGATTTTACCAGTGCTGGCGAGTGTTGTGGGGTGCTTTTGACATGAATATTTGAACGCGTGTTTTTTGTTTGTATTTTTTCTTTCTTTCTTGAACAAATCCTTCATATTTTTAAAGTCAAAATGCAATTTCTCACGTCACCCTGAATTTGTCCTTGGAGACCTCATTTATAAAGATTGGTTGCGTGTGAGACCCGCGAAAGTTATCAATACTACTAAAATAAAATAGATGTGCAATGAACCAATTGCAAACATCTCAAATTGTTCTATTTACGGTATCTTTATTGTCAAAAATAAATGATCTCTATAAAGA